CTACCAGCGAAATATGAAGCATGTTCTATAACGCCATCTTGACAGTTTCTCGCTCAGCACGCTGTTATCATCTCGGAAAACTATAAGAGCTTTGCTCCTGGCAACGCGTAGACTTGTACACGTAACCTATTTCCTCGTCACCTGCTCCCTCCTCCTATCGATTTTCGCGTTTTGTTGATTTCTCAAGCTTCTCCTTTCCGCTAAGTAAGTGGAATCTAGTCGTAAACATCGTGATCTATGCTCTCAAAAAAGCACTTCTAGTGTCTAGTCTGTATGGGTGAAAACAAGCCATATAAAAAGGATTCTAGTCATCGAGGGACCCTGAGCTTGTGTGAGGGGTAGAATCGTTCGGCTAGTACAGTTGAATAGTGTCAAATAATAAAGATTAGGGGAGAAGCCCTTGAAGCGTTTCACAACTCGACCGTCAGCTTTTACAAAGGGTAACTACATAGAGCACTAGATGAGACTTTTATCAACCGTGGCCGTGAAGCGAATACTCATGCTTGGGTACAGGTAGCCTAGAAACGGCTACAACATGTAGCAACAAATGAATTGACTTCTTTGATGCGCTGTAATGATAGCCTTTCTATGGTAAGTTCGACTCGTATGCTATATTTTGGCAATATCATTTTTATTTTTGCGCATCGGCATTTATGCTGAACTTCTTTAGAAATGTGTATGTTGTAAATGACGGTGATCACACCAGCTGCTTCTTCTTTATCATCTTCAGAAAATTTTTTGTTCCATTACACTTCTTGGGAGCTAAATAATAAATGTCAGGAAAATATAAAATTCTCGCAAAAGGTGGGGATCTGCACAGCGGGTGAATAAATTTTGCTGCTTCCCCGTATCAGCTGTTAAAACGAACAAAAGTGAATCCAGAAAACTGGTTCCAAGTCCCAAATTATTACCTTTCGGAACCGTCAAGCCTTCTAACCGATAAGACTTAATGAGACAGAGCGAGACAAAACTTAAAAATGTGCCTGTCGTTGATTTTCACAAGTTCTGCTTTTCTTCGATTTTCCTGTACGCTTGTCCCATTATTTACAGTGGTTCCAAGTTACTGAAAAGGCTCCAGGGCCAACGTTTCCGAAGCGTTTGTCAGAAAGGGGGCGAAATGGCCCAGCTTGCTGTAGTCCGTCTGCTATGGTATGACCCCTTCGGTCAGCCATGAGGTTTTGTATTTCAAAGTTGAAATTTTTGTGGACCATGAGCCGTTTTCTCAGTCCATTTCCTGTCAACGTCTTGGTCTTCAGGAGAATATGCCGAGTTTTTCAATTTCTCAATCCTTGAATCTTCAAGGTGGAGGGACAGGAACGACGAAATCGAAATCTTTTGACACCACATTTTGTGTTCAATTTCTAATTTATAAAGCAGTAGAACATTATTCAGATATTTGTAAAATCTGTGTTGAAAAATTCGTGCCTTCTCACGGGACTGTAGACTGGCTTCCATACGGAAATGACTAGTTCCTTCTCGTAAATGTTGCGGTGGTTCAATGAGGAGTAACAGCATGCCGGACATATGTACAGTCGCGAAAAAAAAACCTGGAACAAGCTTTGAAAAGGAATTTTCATTTGTTTGAGCTATCTGATCTCTTCTTCATTATTCAGTAGTTCTTCCAGTATTAGGGTTAGAAGCTAAGAATATAGTGTTATAATACAAAATTAAAATTTTGGCTAAGCGGAGATAGTGTAGTGGCAAGTGGCGCCACTTACCACAAGCGTGGTCTGGGGTTCAAAGCCCGGCTCTCGCCTGAACCAACCGAGTTTTCGTGCCTGCGGGGAGAGCTAATTAGTAGTCGTCTAAGAAGATGAAAAAGTTGACTCCTGCATTGGCGTATCTATCTATCAAAAAGCACGCGACTTGGATTGTTCCAAGTTTTTTTCCGCGTCTGTATGTAGGCACAGGACCTTTTTGTACCATTCCAAACAAGTGGAGTGGACGCTCAGTGGTTCTAGCTATGCAGTCCGTGACTTCTGAATATGTCCGCATCGCTCGTTGTTGACATTTCATGAATCAATGAACCGGCTGAAATGGTCTTCCCCAACCATCCCATTAGAACATCCGGGACTATTGATATTTCACGCTCGAAACTGCCCTTTCCAAACATCCACTTTAACCTCCTTTCAATTGAACTAAACTCTGACATTAAGTCATATTTGAAGAGCTAAAGACGTCACCTTATATAGCAACTACTTTTCTGATGTGGTGCAAGACTGTGCAGCACTTCGATGCAATTCTGTGTGGTAGTAATTACCATTAGTTCATTATATTTAACTTAGTGTATACTCAGCGCAGTTCAGCTTTGTGTGAGGGCAACGAATGGTATACTCAGCCAAGTAAGTGGAGGTGAACTGTGAAAGAACTGTTAGATTATTGTCGATAAATTGTGGCTCAACGCACCATTTCATTGTTCCAAGTCTCAGCTTAAGTAAGTGCTGTATGAATTTGATACGAACGGAGAAAAAGAGACTAGCAACGAGCTGCAAATGCCCCTCCCCTCCCCAAGTCGAGCAATGCCGCACATTCGAGTTAGAGAAAATTGTCCCTATCAAGGAGCCAACACAATAGAATCGCTTTTTCAGTGGCCCCTTCCTATACCTCCGAGTGATTATCGATTCTTATGTTGTAACGAAATGTCTCCTCCTGTACACCGAAAACAGGAACTATCCCTCATAAACAGTCCCTCGTATGCCTTCGAATGCACCTGATTGGCTTCTTTTCTTCTTGTTGATTTTTTTCATGATTTCTTTTTTTCCAGATGGCTAACGTACTTTACAAATTCGCGTCGGACTTGAATCCGTGGAATTTACGTTATTTATTCTATCTGGTCACACCAAATGAGACAATCTTCCCTAGCATGGAAGAAACACCAAACTTTTTGGACCCGGTAAAGCATCCGCTGTTTACATTTGCTCATGTCAGCTCATAAAATTGTGCTGGAATAAGGAACCAAAATGCTCTTGACAGCGGTGTTTGAAGACAAACACAGCACTTCGATGACGGTTCTTGGAATGTACGAGGCACTGGGTCCGCAGCTGCAGTAGCGAACCTTCTCGAAGGTGTACGAGACCGCTTGCTTGTGGGGAAACTGTACTCCGATCTATATTCCACCTGCGCTTCCCTGAAACTGCAGCGGTTGCATCGATACCGAGATCCCGCAAGGATAGACTCACTCAGATGTAGAGAACACTTAAAGGCAGTTGGCACGATGGTTTCCTACTTAGCCTAAAATGCTAGTAGGGCGCTGTATAGTGGGGAAATGGCGAAAGAACGGAGTGAAACGGTCAAAATCCGGCGAAGAAAAAGCCTCCGTTCAGTGACTTGTAAATCGATTTCGGACGAGTTTCCCGTACGCATCTTGCCAATCACGTACCGAGTACGCTGATATGGGTCCCATATATGCATGCAGGATCAGCGGCCGTTCTACCAATCCTTTGCTTCACAATTTGCTCAGCAAATGAATGAATACGAGCGTCAGAAACGGTCGTCCGTTTGTGGGCGGGCGGGCAAGGAAGGCGTTTGGGACGTAAAGTTGTTGCTCATATAGGCCGTTATAGAGGTACCCTCCTTGGAAAAGGTTTCACGCAGAGCCGTCGAGGTCACGGATTCATGTTAAAGCAGTTGCCACAAATCCGACACCGTATAACGATTTATCGTGCCAACTGCCTTTAAAGACAGCCCCCGCGCTCGAGTAGTACATGGTCGTCCTTCCTTGTGCAAGTAGTACAGCCCCCAAGCTAGAGACTGTCCCACTCTATTCGTCTGCACAGCGAGCGAGAAGCGAGCTACAGCCGCTGTAAGTTCTAGTTCTAACGCCTGCTCAGTTGGACCGCCTTACTTGCTAGATGTCCTCCGACGGAGGCCACTCAGTTGTTCTTAGTTGGGGCGGCGGGCATTGCTAATGCCCATGGATAATTCTGCTCCCTTTATTACAGTTTACTCATTGGAGGTATATACATTCAATTCAACTCATTTCGCGAGGTGAAACGCGTAAAAAGCACGAGTGACGCAATTTTCGTGATGCAAAACTTCGACACATAAAACGTGCGCTACCGTAATCCCAATTTCAGACACCGCGTTGATGAAATTCCTTTTTCCTTCCAAGAGTTTTTCCTCTGCGTTTTTGTTGTTTTTTTGTATTCTTTTTTTGCACTGGATGATATCAACTACTGCGAGATGTGATAGAGAGATTTGTGAGCTAGGGGTTGCACAGAGACCGCAGGGAGGTGTGACTGTGAGGGAGCGCTTCTTGCCTGTTTTCTTCTTTGGGAGATTACTTATCAGCTACTGTTTCATAATTGGAAAGCAGCTATCCATGAGACTTTTATCGCGGGAGCTGTCTTTAAGTGAGAGGGTGCTGACAAGCAGCGCGTTTGGCTGTGGTTAGGTGGCTTCCTGGGCGTGCGGCAGCCGAAGTGCAGAGTTGACACCGGGGTATCTACTTTAGCCCCGTTCCCGTGAATTCTTGAGAGGAGAAAGTGGCACGATCCTGCAGTTGCGAATACATTCTCCATGTTTCACGCACAAGACAACCAGGATCCAGCGAAAGGCTGAGCCTCACCTTCAGTAAATTCCCATTAACAACTGAAGTGTCCCACAGTCCCGGATCTCTATTCCTGCACATGTTCGGACGGGGGAACCGCTATGTTTCGACAGCTGGGGGCTGATAGTCACGAACACCCAAACTATGTGTGATGGTACCATGTGTCTTTAAGAGCACGTTGCATGCGTTTCTGCCAGGATTGGCAGCTCGCGCACTCCCCTCCCCCGCCCCTCCCGTATGGACTATATCTCGGATGTGCTGACGTGTGCCCGTGGCTAAAAGACTGATTTTGATGGTGATGGCGAACGCGTCCCAACCCTAGTCACTGAATCACAAAATCACTTGAGTAGCTAAAATCAAGGAACTGAACCGCGAATGGGGCGAATCATGAAAGCAGCTTTACGACACTGAAGGCCACACTAAAACCTATAAAATTCAGGCAACGTCATGGATGTTCGTTTTAGTTTTACTGGAGTATTTGATACTGGATGAGAAGAAGTACGCGTTCAACGATACGGTCACGTCAATAAATGCCGGAATTTTGTCACTCCTCTTAAAGTGGGTCTTTTTCAGAATAGCTCCCAAATACGTAACGAGTCCTCAAGAAATAACCCTTGAGGGTTCTGACAGATCAGTGCGCGACAAGGCCCACAAGCCGCTCCTGGTCATTTTTTGGTCGATTAAAACGATGGCTTCGCGCTCCGACTTATCACCTAGAGCTATGATTTATAACAGAGTCCGCCCTTCTTTCTTTGCCACATAGTTTACAGGTAATCCTCCCCTACAGCACCACTTTTTCAGTCTCTCACCGATGCCACCCGTTGCTTGCCCTCCCCTGACAAAGAAATACGCTAAGGGCGCAGAGGATCGGAGTCTTAAAAAAGCAACTCCATGACAGTGGCCCGTAGCAACTTTGATAGGTGCTTATAGCCTGACTATTGTGTAAGAAAAGGAATGCAAGAGCACTTCAACATGGCTCAAAGGTTAATTCAGGTGCCTTGAACTGGAGGTTTCAAGGCCTCAAAGCGAATTTGCCTCGTTGGTAGGAAAAACTGTCTTTCTTTGAGTTTAGAGTCAGTGGTCGGTTTCTTTCCGCTTCGTTCTACCCGATGGTGTACAGCCGACTGCATATCATAGACTTACCACCAGACTCAGCTTTCACATGGATACTGTGTTTTTTCACGCAGGACTTGGCCTATTACCTAGGTCATCGGGCAATACATGGTAAGTGTTTCCTTATACAACGTGAAGAACTCACAGCTATAAAAATTTCACACTCCAGAACTAAATGTAATAGCTTAGCGCGGGTTCACTCGTGAAATTTTATTGATCGGGCATGCGTTCACTCAAACCCGACCTTTTGAACAACATCAATGCCACAAAATTCACGAGCAATTCGCTTCAAATCCCTAAACTCTCGTTCCCTTGAGGAAGTTTCTGAACGTGCGCAAGCAATTCAAATTCAAGTATCTTATTTGATATCATCTGCTTTTCGCCTCTTTTTGTCTTTTTGTTCTTGAGATTGGGGGGAGAGTTGTAGCGAGACATGATTCCGGAGGCGGGGGGGGGTCGTATTTCGCGTAAAGTTATGTGAATCACCTAGAAAGTTGAAAGAGATGGAATCTCTGGGCATTTGATGTACTGATATAGAGGAGAGCCTTTAGAAAAAGTGGAAAATGGGAATTTGTAGGTAGGTTTCAAGAAATGGGCTGAGACCCTCATTTAAGTGGGGGGGGGGTAGGGTCGTACTGACACTCTCTCTCGGAGGGGGGGGAGGGAGGGTAGGTCGAACCCTACATCACCACCTCACACATCACGATGCTGTACCCTGCGCCTGGTTGGCCGTGCGTGACGGAGTGGAGGCATCAATACTCTGCAAATCCCTTCCGTGCAACTTTGACAGAAGGAAGTGATACGGTACCCATTTCGCTCATGACAAGAACCAGGACCCACAGAGCTGAGTGTACAGGGGGGGGGCCAAAAAAAGTCACTTTGCCTCATTGACTTTCGAGGCGCTATAAGTTACACTTTATCAAATTCTGATCGGACATTTTTACCACCATATTAAAGAGCATATTAAATACTATCATGACACTCCGCCACAGCCTTCTGGACGAGCGCCATCGAGAGATTCTGGCACGCGACCGCGATGTGGTGCCTGAGATCAGCGAGATAGTCGATTTCTCCGCCACCGTAGACCACCCTATTGAACTCCGCCCGAACTAGGTAATATTTCAATATTACATCTTCTTCAGGTACGAAACGCCCTTCCATTCGAAGTAGGCGGGAGTTTTTCCAAAACCCTTCGATTCCATGTGGTGGCACCCAAACCTGTAGCAGCACAAGGTCTCCAAGAAGGTACGGGCGACCACATGTAGGGAGGATATTCTTCTCGAGTTACTTGATGTAACCGCCAGCGCTCACCTTCAGTCGGGGTCTACAAAGAAAATATCGGTCTTCCCATTCCAGGTACCCCGGTCCATACCATCAACTCGGCCTCGGCGCACTACGCGTGAGATGATGTCCTTAGACTGATAGCGAAGTTACGAACCTGGGTGACTCCATACTAGAAGTTTCGCAGCTGTTTGGAGGTGACATGAATTCCAAAGGTCTTCTCCAGTCAGGCTGCGACTGGAGATGACTTCATATTTTGGTGTACATGAAGGTGATGGGCGAGAGCCAGCTCCTGCTTATTCTTGGGTATCTTCCGCCCTGGTACTCGTATCCACGTCCTCTGTCTGGGCTGCAAAAACTTTGCTGATATGTGACTTGGTCAAAGTGACTTTTTTTGGCCACCCCTGTATACTTTGAGCGCTAGTGACTGCATACGGAAACATAGAGGGATTGATCAAATGCGTCCTTTATTTTCACAGTTCTTTTACTTACCGTAAGAGCATATTCAAGTCTGGCAGTTCAAGTCTGAAAAGAATTTAGGAGTTATATTTTTTCTCTCTTTCTTTTATTTCATTCTTTTTTTGCTTTCCTATTTTTCAGAGTCTTTTTTCCAGAAGCTGGTGTTTTCTGGTCTTTTCATCAAATGCATCATTCCTCTGAGTACTACAATCTTAGCACTGCTCTACGACAGGGAGCTATCCAGGTACCTCGTTGTAGTCATTTGTAAAGCGGGATGTGAGGCAGTCACAATTGCAGAGCTATCTAGAAGGAATACAGAAGCTCATAGTAATTGGGAGAATGAAAACCTCTCTCGAAAGATGATCGCATTTCCTCTAGCAGGCCTTATTAGTTCCAAAGGGAGGGGCAAAATGAGACAGTTACCGCTGGAGGTAGCCTACTTAGGGGCGCTGAGCCTCCAATTTGAGACCATATGAAACCCGGTGGTTATCAGAGGCATCAATAAAAGACACTCCGCGGTGCGATTGTCCCTTGGACCCGTTGGATTGGCGGCCCTGCGCAGAGCGTTTGTTGCATTTGCCGGCCAGTGTAAACGGTCAGTACGATTTAGCAAAAAAATTTTAGTTTCAACATTTTCTTAATTCGGTCCAATTAAGGACATTGCGATGCTGTTTTTCGACTTACTGCAAGCTGTCGCCATCCCACCAAACATCTTCCTCGTTCACCGCAATCTGAATCTTATCTATCAATTCTGGCTTCACTCGAATGTAAGTGTGAAGGTATTCAGCAGTCTTTGTTTTCATTACTATTATAAACGAGTGCAATGGTGGTTGCGCAAAATGTATAGACCACTTTTTGCACTGTTCCTTTCAGGCAAGAACACTCTAAATCTTCTAAATGAAGAGCGCGTGGCTGCATACTTCATGTAAAATTACGCGAGATGAGTTTTGCGGGGGTGCACTTCCATTTGAGACGACTGCCATCCTATCTTGTGCTAGACGGCAATATCCCGCTAAAAATGCAGAAAGAGCCATGTTCAATGAAGTACACAGCCTCACCTCTTCCGAGATACGAGGACTGTAGTCAGTGTGGCGGTGAAGTGATGCGCGAAGCTTTCCATCATGGCTTTTCGGACCGAGCGTTGAGTCTGGCATAGTTTGACTATGGGCCCTGCTTTTTACTTTTTTTTCTGTTAATTATTTTAGTATTTTCTCATTCACATTACACTTGGACACATTGGTCGATAAAGCATCGACTCTGCCTCCCTGTTCTCAGTTGGTCTCGGTGCGTAGACAACCCCTAGAGGTACGGTTAATGGAGTCACAAACATTCGGGCGGAGTGTCAGGAAGGGCGCAAACCGACCTCCCCTCCGGCTTATTTTTCTATCAAAAGCGATCGTTAGTGACCAATTCAGGAATGAAAGATAAAAGAGAAGAGGAAACGGTGAAAACGGCACGGTTACACTCATTCCATGCCCCCTGGCAAGGCCCCCACTGATTTTGACGATGATGAACTGTGACCTCTTCCTTGTTTCCTGCATTCAAACACACTTCAGCTTTAAATGCGTGGCGCACTCATGAGGGCTTTCTAGCTCACGTTGCTTCAATCCTCTGCCTGTGAACATTGTGAACAGAAGCCATGTGTGGGCGCTATTCTCGACTGAATTCAAAACAACTTACGGAATGCGTTCAGATCTTCAATTTTCAAAGTTATGGATTCGTTCTCTCGAAAAACCATTTTTTTTGTTAACTTCGTGTTCCGTGCTCGAAGGAAGGTGAACATAACACTAGTTCCCAAACATATTTATCATCATTCTAGTTATTAATATTTGCTACATCGTTGCCTACATATCGTGGAATGCGTTCTTTGACTTCTGTGATATGCATGAAGTACTATAGTATGCAAGTTCTTTCAAGACATGAAAGCCTTGAGTAAGCGATGACAAGTGTGTATTCATGAAATATAACGTCTCATCAACAATATACCATCAGAAAGGGATGTGCAGAATAGCTGCGGATTCTTCAAAGTTTTTCAGAAGCAGTGTTTTGAAGGATGGAAAGCAAAGCGAAAAATATTGGGAATCTTTCACCACTAATGGCCCCACTGTTTGAATTCAATTCATGAATTGAAACAGTGGCTGTTTCTGCGCCACTTTCTGGATTCTTGAGCAGATTTTGATCGAAATTCTTCCCGAAGATGAGTTTGGCCAAAATGTAGCTATGACATAAAAGTGTGGTGCCACGAGCCAGTTCTGACGTAAACTTATACCTAAGTGCATGCAGTAGGCGCTCCTGAGCGGAGCAGGTGTTATATTTATGTGCTGG